TTCACCCCCTGGAGCCGTGTGAGGCATGTTTTATTATGGATGGATGCACTTTATTTGACTTCTTTTGGACTGTTGAACAGAAACACCCGCCCACTGCCATTATAAAGCTTGGGAGAGCAAGGACAATTTTTAATATAACTCCGACTGGATTCGTCTGAAAGAAGAAAGTCATATACACCTAGGATGCCTTGAGGGTGAGTAAAACATGGGCTAATTTTCATTTTTGGGTGAACTAACCCTTTAATGTGCAATACAGTCTTCAAACTGTTTTGTTTTTCAAATTGCACTGGTCTGCACTTTGCCACTGATGAAACAGGATTCAGACAGTGGACTCGATATCTGGTGTGTTTATTGGTTGCTATAGTCACAATGTAGGCGTCAACATGATGCCAAGATACTTTCTTCAACAAAAACATACAGTAAATACTGTCGGTTTGGATGCATTTAATGCAACAAAGAACACATTATTTTACACATTCACATCTACACACTAATGCTCAGCGCTCGCTGTATATGACATTACATACATGTCACAATGGCAGCTGGCTAACAGGGTGGAAATCTGAAGGGGAAATTAGCTGTGCAATTGTGCTGGGGGCAATTACTGATCTCGCAAATTATAGCAACACAAATTGTAATCAATTTAATTAGAATGTATTTTCAGGAACTGAGACTTTCTAAGCTTCTCTTGTTGAGTTTTAAGTGATGTCATAAATGAATGAATTTTTTTTTTGCTGGAATTGACTCTGATCTGCCTTAATAATCAGATTTGGGCTGCCAGTGTGAACAAAGCCATAATGCCAAGTCTAAATAGGTTTTGATGTTTTCATGCTTTCATGTCTCATCATTTAGAAAGCATTTTAGAGGGGGAAAAAAAAAAACTCAAGCCCATTCCAGCAGTTAATGGCAAACCAGAAATTTAAAACATTTTTTTTTTTTGGTCAAATCAGGCTGGTGGGTTACAGTTAAAAAAAGACAAAAAAAACACTGCAGCTGTTCATCATGGTATGGAGCAGCAAAAAAGATGACAAGCGGCAAATGCAGCCTCTGTCTGCTCCGGACCACACCGTTTCACCTGTGCCCTAGGAGAGAGAGAGGGGACAGAGGACAGGAAGTCACTTCCACCTTGACCACTGCTTGTCTTTGTCTGTTAAAGGCACGTAAATCACGCCCATCAGTGGCTTCATTTTGGTACTGCCATCCTCCAATTTGTCATACTGCTCCAGCATCTGGTTCCCTCCTGCTGGCCCGACCGGCAGAATCAGACGCCCACCTGGCTTTAGCTGGTCCAGCAACTACAACACAAACATACACACATACATGTGAAGATCCAGATACATGGTGAGTAAATGATGACAAAATTCTACTTTGTGAATGAATTATTCCTTTAAAGATATGGCTTAAGGTACAAATATGGCTAGGCATCAAAGTGTATTTGTGATTCAAAGAAAACATACTGCTTGTGGCACTGTGGGAGCTGCGGCTCCGACATGTATGGCGTCATAAGGTGCTTCTTCCTCATAGCCCATTCTTCCATCTCCAACTGCACACATACAGACAACATTACAGGATAACACAGCTGTTCTGTTCTATTCCTATGGCCTGTCTCTGAATGTAAATTTGTCTGATAAATGTCACAACTTAAAAAAAAAAATCTGAGGAAAAAAAGTCTGAGGAATGAATTTAAATGTGATAAAATATGTGAAAAAAATAATTTAAATATGTATAAATACTAGGGATGTCACAATTCTTGATATAATATCGAACCGTTCTGTACGACATCCACGGTTCAATACGCGCTTGTGAATTGCGGTTTTGCATTTAAATAATATCGGTGTGTTTTATTTCTCTCAGAATTGGCTGTTTGTGTGTCGGTGAGTTCATGTGCTGAAATGAGGAAACCCCTCCCCTCTTATATTTGAAAAAGCAACACATGCCGAGCATCTTCCCTTGTAATGACATACAATAATAAGACTTTCTAAACCTGTTGTCCAGCAAAAGAGAACATTATAACTTGTTTAGCGTTTATTGTCCTTAAATTTCATCATTCAAAAACGTTTAACGTTTTATCTTCTTTTTATTCAGTTACAGCGATAGGGATGCCTTTATCCATATTAGGGATTTCCTGGAACACTGTAAGTGTTACTTCTATGATGCATATGTGGATTTTCTGCACGAGGGCGCCCTCTGGCGTCCAGTATGAATGAAACACACATTACATGCGTTTATAGCGCTCAATAATGGCCAATCCATCCTATTTTGGGTAAAAATTGGAAAAATAATTCCTCTCTCAAAAGATTGGAAAAATGCTCTCAAAAGAAATGTTAAACAGAAATATAAAAATCCACGCTTTTTCCAGTGTACAGAGGTTTACAGGAGTTTTTTGTTGTTAATTTGTTGCAAAAAACACTCTGATGTGCCAAGCTATCAGAAACAAACCAAACCGAAAACCGTGGTTAAAAACCGAAGTACGTATTGAACCGTGGACTAACTGTATTGTTGCATCCCTAATAAATGCATATAAATAGTATTGACCGTTGGCCAATCAAAATCAGCCAAAATTTTGCTGCATACCTAAAAAATGGATACATTATAAAACACAATTGTGAGAGACCAAAGATAGGTAAGCAGACCAACCATTGAGTTTGATTCTCCCTGAAGAGATCAAACTAGGATCGTCTTTCTTTACATTAGTTATAGAATCCTCCACAAGCTCCTTTATATGATCAATGCCAATCACCTTCCCCTTCTGCCCAACCTGTAAAACACCACAACACATCCACTGTAATGCACACACTCATCAAACTACTATGGAGGTCCAAACTGACAGAAGTAGGCTAAATTAGTGATTTTTCATTCAATGTAGCTCTGAATTAAAGGGATAGTTCACCCAAAAATGACAATTCTGTCATTAATCACTCACCCTCATCTCGTTCCAAACCTGTAAGGCCTTTCGTTCATCTTCGGATATGTTGTTTATGTTCAGATCAAAGCGTAAACAACATGTCCGCGTACATACGTTGCATACGTTATTTATGCATGTGATACTCTCAAAAATGGCGCCAGGGTGACGCGGAGACGAATTGTTGAATAAAGTTGTTATTTTTGTTTTCTTTTCACACAAAAAGTATTCTCATAGCTTCGTAAAATTACAGTTGAACCCCTGATGTCACATGGATTATTTTAACGATGTCCTTACAACGTTTCTGGACCTTGATCGTGTTAGGATCCTTGGACCTAGGGTCAGAGAGCTCTCGGAATTCATCAAAAATATCTTCATTTGTGTTCCGAAGATGAACGAAGGTCTTACGGGTTTCAACATAATGTTCTTTTTAGCAATGTCATATGACCCCTTTAAGAACTAGTTTGATTAACTATCAGTTGAACAAGTGTCATACTTGTCTTACCAACTGATCAGTCTTACTTTTTGGATTCAAATTAGACCAATCTACCTTTTCATGTAACTGACTTTAAAAAGTTATGACCAGTCTTAAAGAAAGAAAAAAAAGATAGATGACTAACTTTTAAGTCTCAGCAGTTTATGCAACCTGCCACAGGGCTAAATTCTGTGAAAACCGAAAAAATGTAGGTCTGCCCACATTTATATTTGCTCCTCCGTATCAGACACACTGTTTAACTGTTCTAACGTACAACAGTAATTCATATGTCATAACTGTTTGCATGCCATTGCTCTACATTTAATACGACAGAACTGTGAAAATCCTAAGCAATCCCATGTTTGCAACTAGCAGTGAAGAGACTCACCATTCTGGCAAAGCAGACGGACAGGATTCCGGAGCCTGATCCCACATCCAGAGCCTTCGCTCCTTCATACAGGTGATCATGGAGAAGCTCTAGAGCATACGCGTGCTACAGCACACAGATGAGCGTTCATCAGCGCCTACCTCAAACAGGCCAGTAACTGCTATCCCAAATGCTGCTAAAGCAGTTTTAACTTACCATATGTGGTGCACTGATTGTTGCTTGGTAACCTGCACAAAATTACAAAAAAAGACTTTCATCCCAAAGAGAAAACACAACAACAGAATCACCAGAATTCGGCATTGTGTCTAACATTAGGGCCTTTCGCACCGCAGGAACCTTTTCATAGTACCAGAACTAATTGTGGAACTACCCACTTTTTGGCGTTTTCGCACCGCCGGAACTGGGAGCGATTTTAGTACCGGACTGCCTTTTTCGAGAACCAAATTAGCTCCTACTCAGGAGCAGGGTCTAACCAGCACAACTGGTACTAATCGTGACGTAAGTAGACAATGATTGGCCAAACGCGTACGAAAACGCCCTCATCACAGCACACCTCGCTTTTCAGAACGATGAGCTTTGTAAAAATCGACGCGTTTCAGAAAGGTGGGGCATAGAGGAGAAACAATAATGTACAGCATTTGGAAAATAATGTGTTTTTTGAACCTTAAACCGCATAAACACATTTCATTACACCAAATACACAAAATAATGATCTTTTTAGCAACATCATATGACCCCTTTAAAGATGTCTGTCAGTTCGAGACTATTCCAATGAATTAATCAAATCCTTTTGTTTCAGACAGACAGGGAAAATAAAGTGGCTGGTGTAGCCGTGCAGAGCAGGAAAAACAGAAACCAGGAATTGTGTGTCACTAAGCTTTGGCCACATTAGACACCTGCATTGTGCAAACAAATGAATAACTCTGGACTGGAGCTTACCTATAGATTGTGGCGAGTCCATGTATGGGTTACATCTGGAAAAGTGGGCACGGTCTGTGGCCAACATAACTTCATACACGCGGTCTGATTTAATGATCCCATTTTCTGGACAAAACACACAAACGCATTCAAACAGATGGCTTAATACCATTGTAATATACACACAATACATTAAATATATAATGTACACACTTTTCTAATATCAGTTCCAAGAGAACCTTGGGAACCCTATTTGCAGCTTCACAACACTTGTTCATTGTATGAAAAAGAGCAGCGTGAATATTCTTCAAAATACCTCCTTTTGTGCTCTAAAGAAAAAGGTTCTTAATCTGTTTCTGTTTTGTTAGTCAATCATTCACTTACATCTATGCATTTGGCAGACAGTTTATCCAAAACGACACTGCATTTCTTCTCAGTTAATGCTTTTCCTGGGAAATTCCATGACCTTGGCGTGTCATGCTCTACTTACTGAGCACAAAATACATGTACGTATGTATGTATGTATGTATGTATATATATATATATATATATATATATATATATATTAGGGCTGCCCCCTAATAGTCGACCAAAATTTTTTTGTCGCAGAAAAAAAAATCCACATTGGCAAAGTCACACAGATCATTAACGGCTGATCTATGGTAATCAGAATCAGAATCAGAATGAGCTTTATTGC